CTTCAACCCTGTTATCGTCAACTCTGTTATCGTCAACTCTGTTATCGTCAACTCTGTTATCTTCAACCCTGTTATCGTCAACTCTGTTATCTTCAACTCTGTTATCTTCAACTCTGTTATCTTCAACCCTGTTATCGTCAACTCTGTTATCTTCAACCCTGTTATCGTCAACTCTGTTATCGTCAACTCTGTTATCGTCAACCCTGTTATCGTCGATTCTGTTACTGTCAACTCTGTTATCGTCAACTCTGTTATCGTCAACTCTGTTATCGTCGATTCTGTTACTGTCAACTCTGTTATCGTCAACTCTGTTATCTTCAACTCTGTTATCGTCGATTCTGTTACTGTCAGCTCTGTTATCGTCAACTCTGTTATCTTCAACCCTGTTATCGTCAACTCTGTTATCGTCAACCCTGTTATCGTCAACCCTGTTATCGTCAACTTTGTTATCGTCAACTCTGTTATCGTCGATTCTGTTACTGTCAACTCTGTTATCGTCAACTCTGTTATCTTCAACTCTGTTATCTTCAACCCTGTTATCGTCAACTCTGTTATCGTCAACTCTGTTATCGTCGACTCTGTTATCATCGATTCTGTTACTGTCAACTCTGTTATTGTCAACTGTTATCTTCAACTCTGTTATCGTCAACTCTGTTATCGTCAACTCTGTTATCGTAAACTGTTATCGTCAACTCTGTTATCGTCAACTCTGTTATCGTCAACTCTGTTATCTTCAACCCTGTTATCTTCAACTCTGTTATCGTCGACTCTGTTATCATCGATTCTGTTACTGTCAACTCTGTTATTGTCAACTGTTATCTTCAACTCTGTTATCGTCAACTCTGTTATCGTCAACTCTGTTATCGTAAACTGTTATCGTCAACTCTGTTATCGTCAACTCTGTTATCGTCAACTCTGTTATCTTCAACCCTGTTATCGTCAACTCTGTTATCGTCAACTCTGTTATCGTCAACTTTGTTATCGTCAACTCTGTTATCGTCGATTCTGTTACTGTCAACTCTGTTATCGTCAACTCTGTTATCGTCAACTCTGTTATCGTCAACTCTGTTATCGTCAACTTTGTTATCGTCAACTCTGTTATCGTCGATTCTGTTACTGTCAGCTCTGTTATCGTCAACTCTGTTATCTTCAACCCTGTTATCGTCAACTCTGTTATCGTCAACTCTGTTATCGTCAACTCTGTTATCGTCGATTCTGTTACTGTCAACTCTGTTATCGTCAACTCTGTTATCCTCAACTCTGTTATCGTCGACTCCGTTACTGTCAACTCTTATCTTCAACTCTGTTATCTTCAACTCTGTTATCATCAATTCTATTGTGGTCTAAAAAGTCAATCCATTTTTAATAGGTTAAACAACAATTAGTACCAGAATCAAATGGTTTTTCTTCCCATTTAAGTCTTTTGCTTTTTTTACATTAATAATAATTCTGTTTACTGTAAAATCACATTTGATAGAAAATGAATGGGAAAGACTTGAAATGTACCACAATTCCTTATTAAGAAGTGTAAAATCAAATGAATGTGTGCGTGTGTGTGTGTGTGTGTGTGTGTGTGTGTGTGTCTGCATGCACAGGTGAGTGACGTTTCCTACAACCAGGTGCGCTGCATGCTTGACTTCGCCATCGCTCTGATGAGCAAACTGGAAAACATCAACATGCACTCATTCAACAACTTCAAACTCAGGATTGGTAAATCAAAGCTGTATTTTTCTTACTAAAATTAACCATGGTTTTATTATATTAAAAGTGTAGTGACCATGTTTTTTGGCGGATTAGTTGTATTAGTTTTCTTTTTTTAAATGTTTGAATTTAGAAATCGTAATGTTCCCAAACTTTGTTCATTTGATCCGTTTTTTACATTCGCTTTGTTGTTTTGGAAAAGAGAAAGAACACAACAAAGACGCAAACTCAAATGATCTCTACACAAAAATTACCAAGTCATCACTGCATGGAGGCAGTGCTGTTTATACTGATGTAGAGAATCATCCTTTCTGGATCATTTTAATCCTTTAATTGTTTTCATCTGTGAAGATATTTGTGTGTTGCTGATCATCCTGTGTGTGTTCAGCAGTGTGTAAGAGTTTTGACCTGCATAGGAGCATATCTAACACGCTCTGCTGGACTTTAAAGCAGCTTTTAGTTGGTCAATGGCACGGTCGATTTCAGTTCCTCAGAATAGCAGCGCTACAACAATGCGCATTAACACACCTCCTCTATAGACCAGCACACACATGAGTCCACAGAGCAGCGCAGATGGTTTACTATTAAACAGCGTGAAGCAAAACGTGAAAATTACAGTTGCGCTGGTCTAAAAATAGCAGCAAATCACGCCAAACACGTCCTGTGCCTTATTGCGATGGGTGTATGACAGAGCCCTGAGTGTTTACAGTGTTCTGAGTTACGAGAATAAAGTAAAATTAATAAATCAAAAAAGTAAATAAATGAATGAGAGAAAAAGAGAATTTTTATTGTGGTGATTTATTGGTTTTGCATGAATGTGATTGGTGTTGTGTTGTTGTGTTCAGGCATTAATCATGGGCCTGTGATCGCGGGCGTCATCGGTGCTCATAAACCTCAGTATGATATTTGGGGAAACACAGTGAACGTGGCCAGCCGGATGGACAGCACTGGAGTCCTGGACAAAATACAGGTCAGCACTTTACAAATATTTCCCAAAGGATGTTGAACAGATTCAGGAATTTTTCACAGCATTTCCTCTAATATTTTTTCTCCTGGAGAAAGTCTTGTTTGTTTTATTTCGGCTAGAATAAAAGCAGTTTTGAATAGTTTTAAAGCCATTTTAATGTCAATATTATTAGCCCCTTTAGGCTATATTTGTTTTGAATTGTCTACAGAACAAAACCACTGTTATACAACGACTCTACATTCACTGGCCACTTTATTAGGTACACCTCACTAGTACCGGGTTGGAGCCCTTTTGCCTTCAGATCTGCCTTAATCCTTGGTGTCAGAGATTCAACAAGCTACTGGAAATATTCCTCAGAGATTTTGCTCCATGTTGACATGATAGCATCACACAGTTGCTGCAGATTTGTCGGCTGCACAATCTCCCGTTCCACCACATCCCAAAGCTGCTCTATTGGATTGAGCTCTGGTCACTGTGGAGGCCATTTGAGTACAGTAAACTCATCGTCATGTTCAGCAGTCTAAGATGATTGAGCTTTATGACATGCTGCGTTATCCTGCTGGAAGTAGCCATCAGAAGATGGAGACACTGTGCTCATAAAGGGATGGACATGGTCAGCAGCAATACTCAGGTAGGCTGTGGCGTTGATGCTCAATTGGTACTAATGCTCTTCTGCAGAGCTCGGTTGTAGCGAGTGCTTATTTGAGTTACTGTCGCCTTTCTATCAACTGGAACCAGTCTGGCCATTCTCCTCTGACCTCTGGCCTCATTAACAAGGCATTTGCGCCCACAGAACTGCCGCTCACTGGATATTTCCTCTTTGTCGGAGCATTCTCTGTAAACCCTAGAGATGGTTGTGCGTGAAAATCCCAGTAGATCAGCAGTTTCTGAAATACTCAGCGCAGCCCGTCTGGCAGCAACAACCATGCCACGCTCAAAGTCACTTAAATCCTCTTTCTTCCCCATTCTGATGCTCGCTTTAAACTGCAGCAGATCCTCTTGACCATGTCTACATGCCGAAATCCATTGAGCTGGACAGGTGTACCTAATAAAGTGTACTTTGTAATTTTGTCAGTACTAAAAGTAGTTTAATATTACTAGGTATTTAAAATCTTTTCGTCAATTTTGAGAAACACTCAGTAAATTAAGAGAAAACAGTGTCAATAACATGTTGACAATAAACTAACGTCATTACTGATGTAATAAATATGATCATTATTATGTTGTGATGTGTTTTCAGGTGACGGAGGAGACGGCGCAGGTGGCCCAGACTCTGGGTTACTCGGTGACCCAGAGAGGAGTGGTCAATGTGAAAGGTAAAGGTCAACTGACCACATACTTCATCAACACGGAGCACACGCCAGCCAATCACACGCCTGTCTGAACACACACCCGCTGCATCAGTGTTTCACTAAGGTCCTGTAGGCTGAGTTCATTTATTGTATGTTGAAGTTTACCTTAATGGTTCATCTATTTTTATAAATGACGCAAGAGTCTGTGGCCTTCATAAACTTTCAAATGACTTTAGTTTTGTATGGAATTCCCTGTATTTTGTTATTTATTACTGTTTGGTAACGTGTATTTAATATTTTGTATGTTCAGTGAATGTGTCTATTAAAATGTTTGATAGAAAACTGTGAGTTGTTGATTGTTTTACATTTTAAACGTTGATGTGACTGAAGCTGATGAGTACATGTATGGAAGTGGATTAAGGCTGATTTATAATTCTGCGTCAAGCGCACGCGTATACTACAGCGCAGCCTACGTGTGGCCGCATAGCCCTCACTGTGGCCGTCGGCGGCACTGACGCGCACCTCTCAAGAAATGTAACTACACGTCGCTAGACGCGTAGCGCAAGCTCTGTGATTGGTCGACTTGGTAGTGCTGACGAGTGTGGGTGTAGCCGGGGCCGGTCTTAACGGCTCGACTACCCCTCTGTGTTGTGTTGTGTTGTGTAAAGAGCTGGAGTCTGTCTGCAGGTTCAGCGGTCTCATTTATTCAAGTGCTGCACAAACAGAGCACATGCAGGTATGAGTCTTCTCTTAAAACTCCTCTTACGCCTGCTACTGCTCGCTCTGCTCTGTCCTCCGGCAGACTCAAGCAAGAACAAAACAGTAAATACAACATATTACATAATAAAAAAGATAAGTCATTATAAAACTATTAATTAATATAGTAAATATTTAAACTTCCCAATGCGTTACAAAAACTCCTCTTAATATATAATATATAACATTTACCAGTATCTTATATAACACATTAAACATCAGACACAAAAAACAATACCTGCACAAACAGAGAACATGCAGTCTTCTCTTAAAACTCCTCTTACGCCTGCTACTGCTAAACATTCACACACAAAAGAGATCGAAAATCAGCAATCAAAATACACATTTCACAGGCTAAACTTCATGCTAATATCGTGCACTGCACTTCTCCTGGTTGAAATGACAGTTTGGCAGGTTAAAACACGATATAAAGAACCCAAACACACTCATATAACTCATGTACATGTTATATAACATATGTAACAAAACTCACTTCATCTAAATTACATATTTTCGTACTTTATACACATTTTTCCACGGGACAGGAGTAAATGCCTACCTCGCTCTGCTCTGTCCTCCGATTTGGAAGACGTTGCAGACGTTTTGGCCCCAACGGCCTTCCATACTCCGACTGACTGAAGCAAAGCGCGCGCAATGTCACTGACGTCACCGCACGTCAATGACGTCATCGCGCCGACGCGTCAAAACAAAAATAAAACATTTTCTCTTTATTTCCCACATATTAATGACCAACAAAACAAAGATTTTGTGTGAATTTATAACGAAAACATACATAAATTTAACACCTGTTACATGGGCGTGACCAAGAGCTGCGCGAGCCCGATGGAGCGATTGTTTACAAGTGTGGAGTGGCGTGAAGGAGCTCCGGATGGAAAGTTTTGTTTTGTGTTTACCTCATAGTTAAAGTTGTTGCACGTCCGCCGGTTCCTGCCTCAAAATGAGCGAGTTTGAGCCACTTGTACATCCAGGAAGTGTTCAGGAAAAGCAAAACACCAGCGAAGAAACTCGACACAGAGGAACATTTACACCTCACTGCCCTCTAGTGTTTCAGAAGTGTTATTGCAGACCAACAGAGACAGCAGCAGAAGTATAAATGCACAGCTGCGCGCGTTGCATGCACCGTGGGTCACACCGATCACTTGATGCAGAAGTATAAACCAGGCTTTAGGGACAAACAATAGTTAAAAAATAAACCTAGAAAACGTACGGAGGAGGATTAGGGAGTGAGATGCTAATGGTCTAATCCAATTCAATGATCTATGCTAAGCTAAGCTAAAAGTGCTGCCGCCAGTCCTGAGGATCGACTGAAGGGACTCAAGAATAGTCAAAACTCAACTTTTTAACACCCGTAGCTTTCTGAGTAACACACAACTGAATCTACAAGCGGGCAGGGCCATGATCATCCTCATCACAGGTAGGTGAAAAAAGGAAAAGAGGCCCACCGCAGTCTCAACTTCGCTTTTAACAATGGCGGCTGCGTGAAAACAGTCTATAGCAGGGGTTTTCAAACTGGGTCGAACCCACTAGCGGGTCGCACAGTGAACAAAGGTGGGTCGCGCAATGTCACATAGCTGCAGCTGTATTTACATTGCGTTGAATCAAAACCAGTACGATTGACGGCAATAACTTAAAAACCTCTTACCCTAAAAATGTCTAAAGTGTGTTTCCTACAAAAACACAAAGCTGGTTGTGTTTCACAGCTGACTTTTTCTTTTTTTTCACTCGACATTACGAGCACTGCTTCGTTTAAGCCCTCACAATCTGCGTTTAGCCGGGAGAGCTCGCACTGAGCGGAGCTCTCAGTAAGGGACCGTCGGAAAAGTGCTTTTATTTCGTTTTTTTTCTTTTTTTGTTCGGTCCTGCGTGTATTATTTTAAACACAACTAATTTTCTCTTAAATGAGCACACACAGTTACTAAAGTAGCCGAATGCTTCATTATAGATCTGTGCATTCTTACATTAACTCATCTGTTATCAAACTAAACACAATGAGAGATTCACTAGCTGCTCTAAACTAAATAACTATAGTAACTTTAATCAATATGCAAATACAATCAAAAGTGAAGTAGATTTTATAGCTTTATTTAATTTATTTAATTATATTTAATTTCTGTATAGGCCATTGATTTTAATAGACTAAACCTTTTATTGTATTGTTAATATTTTCTAATGTTTGCTATGTGTTCTATCATTTGAAGCTATTTGTTGTTATTTTTTACATCCCATCGTTGACAGATTGCTAATCAATGAATAGCTATAGTGCTATCTGTTAGTTTTAACGTCAGCTAATGTTATGGAAGGGCATAGGTGTTCTGGAAAATAGTAATAGTAATGTAACTACCTCCATCATTCCTCCCTCAAGCAAATGTGTAGATATTAGATCTATTCAGCAATAACGTTAATTGCATTGGCATATTTATCTGACGTTTTCCCAGCTTGTAGTAGTTGATCAAAAAGCGATTTAGTTTCTTATGACTTTACACTAGCAGTGGAATTTACTGCGATGTGACGGGGCTTGATCATAATCCAGGGGCTTGATCAAAGGTTGATCATATTCATATTAAAAGAGTATCTTTTTCAACAAAAAAATGATCACAAGCACTTCGAGCCTCATTTTGTGCATGTCAAATCGCAAAATCCAAAAAGCCGCACACCATATATTTTTGACTGCTTTTTATGGATACATTTTTTTTTTACACATTTTTCCAAATTAAAATATCATGGTGGGTCTTGAGATTGAATTACTTGCCTAGGTGGGTCCCGGAATAAAAAGTTTGGGAATCCCTGGTCTATAGGGATCAACTCACTGATGTAGCCATCCCCCAGTGGCCAGTCGATGAATTACATCTTCAATCACTTCTGTGTTTGCTTCACGAGGGAGAGCAGAAGGTTGCAGGTTGAGTTAACTCAAGGTGACTTTTATTCAGTTAAACAATTTTTCCAAACTTTTAAACATGACATTGGCATCTCTTGCTCTTTCTGTGAGGCTTCTCCTGAATCTGTTGCTCACTTGTTTTGGTAGTGTCCCTCCGATGTGAATTCTCCAATTGTCCAAAAGGTTTGTGGGGATTTTTCTTTAAGCTCTGGACATGTTGTTTTGGGGTTTTGTGTTAAAGAAAAACAATTCCTTAATTCAACTTTTTTTTGCATAAACCTCATTTTATTTATGGGAAAGTTTTTAAAAATGCAAATGTACTCAATGTAAGCCCAATTTTTGTATGTTTTTAAACGAGAACTGGAACTTTTTTTTTAAACCATCACCGTTAGGAAAGCAATTAAAGCTTATAAAACATGTGCTTTATTTAATATTCTGCATTCATTTGTTTTATTTGTGTCATGTGCCCTCATTTATTTCTTTTTTTGTGTCTGTGTCTTTTTCTCTCTCTTTGTCTTTCTTTTGCTTTACCTTTATTTATTTTAAAATTGTTGCATTTCTCTTGTTGCTTTAAAGGTGATGCCTGCAGAAATGTTGCAAACAATTTATTTGTGTTGAATTTAAACAAACAAATGAAATTTAATAATGTTCAACTTAATTTGTTTGTTTAAATTCAACACAAATATATTGTTTACAACCACTTAACGTAAAAGAAATTGAGTAAATCCAACATTTGAATAATTTTTTTCAGTTGTATTATTATACTTTAATCAGTTTTGTATTTGTTGTAATGGACTGTTTTTATTGCAATAAAAGAAAATAAAAAAAACTGAAAAAAAAACTAAATCTATTTTTAGCTATTTTTTAAAAGAGTAGTGATCTGTTTAGCAAATATAATAGAACAAAAATAAAGAATAATAAAACTATGTGCATGAAGCTGTTTACAACAAGCACTTAATTAATGAACTACATGGAAATACAAAAGAAAACAACATAGCTAATATGTCTATAAGCAACACATGGGAGTATATTAGCAAGGAACACAACAGTGTTCTGTGTGGAGTTTGCATGCTCTCCCTATGTTGGTGTGGGTTTCCTCCGGGTGCTCCGGTTTCCCCCACAGTCCAAACACCTATAGAGGAATTGATGAACTAAATTAGCTGTAGTGTGTGAGTGTGTATGGGTGGTTCCCAGTACTGGGTTGCAGCTGGAAGGGCATCCGCTGTGTAATACATATGCTGGAATAGTTGGCGGTTCATTCCGCTGTGGTGACCCCTGATGAATAAAAGGACTAAGCCGAAGGAAAATGATTTAATAAGTTCAGATTTCTATTTTGTTGCTGCAACTACTGTTTGTATATGCAGTGTGAATACACAAATGATCGAGACATTGATTAAACATGCACTGACATGCGTCGTCTTATGGATGAGACGTTAAACTGTGCTCATTAATAATCTCTTGGCACTTCTGGTAAAGAGCAGGGGTGTAACCCCGGTGTCCTGGCCAAATTAAAAATCAGCCCTTACCCATCATGACCTCTCAATCATCCCCATCCACTGAATTGGCTCTATCACTGTCTCTCCACTCCCCCTATAGCTGGTGTGTGGTGAAGCACTGGCGCTGTTGTCCTGCAGCTGCCGTCGCATCATCCAAGTGGAGCTGCACACTGGTGGTGGTGTGGAGAGACCCC